ACGTGCGTCCGTCGTGTCCCGGCGTTGACCATGTCGAAGCGCTCCGCGACCGATACGACGTCACTGTAGCTCGCGTAGTTTGACGCTGCCACTTGTCGTTTGACTTCGGTCTTTAGCCCGACGAGGTACGACTGTACTTTTTCCCCTTCGGTCAGGTCGGGAATGCGGTTATAAAATTCCTCCATCTGCTGCGTGTACTGCGCTACACTTCCGAACTGTCGGTGTCGATGAATTTTTTCCCGGGCAAGGAAACTCGAATTTATCGGCTCGAATCGTTTCAGCAGGTCGGCGCGGAACTGCTGCCACGTGGCTTCACCGTGGATGAAGGTACTGTTGCCGCCAATCCACTCGAGTGCCGGCCCTCGCATCAGTGTCGCCGCGAGTCGTACGCGTTGACCGTCCCAGCCTGGCGAGCTCCATCCGACGGCTGCGAAGTAGATCTCCATGCCGGCGATCCATCTGCGGACGTCGGAGTTTCGATCGCTCGGATCGAACGGCTCAGGTGGGCGCGGTTTTGGAGCCTCGAGAAACTGCTGCGACTGCTGCGTCGTCGCTGTTGTCGAATCGTGCTGCGCTCCGGCGAGTCGAGTTACTCGCTCGAAATCGTTTCCCCACGCTTCGCGGTCCGCTCGCATCTCCTCCTGAAGGGCTGCGATGCGCGCGAAGAGCTGCTGGGTAACCTCGGCGTTGTCGAGGTTCGCCATCCTGTTAAAAAACACGCGCGGAGGGGGTAATTCGGAAAAACGCGGAGCTGGTGCTTACCAGAATCGGCGTCGAATTGGTCGCCCCCGGCGGTTTTTCGAGGCAGGATCCCTGCTGCTGCTGCTTAGCTGAGCGCGGCTGAGTGAGAAAAGCTCTGATTACCAAGTGTTACAGGATCGAAAGACTCGAGGAAAGGTTGCACTATCGAGTACAAGGCGCTTTTATACTTCCAGAGTACATCAGGTAACCAGGTTTATCCTATCCTAAGGGAATAGACCCTTCTAGAAGATAGAATCACCCTGCGTATAGCCACGCGAGGCTATTGGCTTTAAGGGATTACGGCAGGATTACGCCAGATAGCGCACCAGTACATCCCAAGCCTGGTCGGTGATATAATTGTAATAGCAGGATAAACCAAAGGTTAACGGAAAAATGGAGAATAGGAAACCAAATGAGATGAGATAAAAAGAGAAATGAAAGAGGAAGGAAATAAGGAAAGGGACAAGTGGTGTAACGGGGTCGTACTCTCACACGCTGCGTGCTACGCTTGCTGACCTACAATTCTTTCCGTCCTCTGCAGATCCCTCGCTCTTCGTTCGTGCTGGCCAGAATCCGTTCTACATCCTTGTGTACGTAGACGACCTGGTCTTCGCTATTGCAGACAGAGACGCACTGGCCTCCGTCAAGGCCGAGCTGCTCAGGAGGCACACCTGCACTGACCTAGGAGAGCTGCACCGCTACCTTGGCCTGCAGATGTCCAGGGACATAGCAGCGCGCACCATAACTCTCACACAGTCACACTTGGTGTGCTAGGTCCTTCAGAGGTTCGGTCTTCAGTTCTCCTCAGCACAGCCTACACCTCTACCAGTAGACCACAGGCTCTCAGTTCCTATTCCTGAGGAGTCAGTAGAGACTAGTGGTCCTTACGTAGAGCTGGTGGGTTGCCTTATGTACCTGATGACTTGCACTCGTTCAGATCTCGCATACCCTCTCAGCATCTTGGCTCGCTTTCTAGTCACAGGTAGACACTGACCACAGCACTGGTCGGCCGCTAAGAGGGTTTTGTGTTATCTAGCAAGTACATCGGGCATGGGGCTAGTACAGCGAGGGCGCAGGCCAGTGGTACTTACTGGGCACACTGACGCTTCTTGGGCCGACGACACTGAGACCCTCAGGTCCTCCCAGGGCTACTGCTTTAGACTTGGTGCATGCGCCATCTCGTGGAGGTCCACCCGCTCGTCGTTTGTTGCCCAGTCTAGCTGTGAGGCTGAGATCTACGCTGGTGCCATGGCGGCACAGGAGCTCCACTGGCTGAGTTTTTTGCTCACAGACTTAGGTGAGCGGCCTAGCTCTGCCCTTGTTCTGTACACTGACAACAGGGCCATGATCCTCCAGTATTAGGAGCCTCGACTGGAGGGAAGAGAGAAGCACATCCAGTTGCGGTACTTCCTCGTGCGCGAGCTACAGCAGCGTCGCCAGGCCCGCGTAGTACACTTGGCCTCCGGTGCCAACAGAGCTGATATCTTTACTAAGGCGCTTGTGCCTAAAGATTATCAGCGGCATAGTTTGCAGCTTGGTCTAGTTCCTGTAGCTACTCACTTGCTATGACCTTGATTGTGTACTTATGTTTATATATACCTTTCTGACAGGCCTTGTGGCCTCTCTTCCAGTGGTCGGACTAGTAGTGCCGTCCTGGCTTGCTCTTGTCTTATTAGCACTCTTGCTAACTGGTCTTCGGACCCTTGCCTCAGAGGCTGGACTAGTAGTGCCACCCTGAGTTGTGTGTGGCGACTTCCATGCACTACCCCTCATCTGGCCTAGGGGGTGTGTCAAATATATTTGTATATGTTATAATAGGCTAGATAGGTGCATGCTCTTAGAGGGTGCAAAATCAAAGTGTACGTCTCATTCTAGTTAACTTTTCTACTCTGAGAAAATCATGCGCACACAAGAGGCAAGTTGCTGGAAGGAGTGTTGAACCCATGCGTTATCAGCAGCTGATGAGCAACATCGGTACCTAGTATGGTACACGTTACTTCAAGCTACACTTTGCTACCGTCTCCTGGCTTAAGCACCAAGGTGGCACCGTTTGTGACACACAGCTCCTTCAGAACCTGCTCATAAAGCAATTAAATACTAAATAAAACATAGCATAATGCTGAAAACTGTTGCGGTGTACATAAAGGCGCATTGTTATCAAAACCATTGGGCCTAGAAAACGCAAAGCACACTGAGAAGTTAGCAGCTGGAATAGAACCGAGCTCACCGGCTGGTAGGAGGCAACCGGCACGTCCGTCTTGAGTGCAATCCGCGTGGCCTCCATTATCTCTGTCCGCTTTCAGCCCTAAGCCCCCGCTACCTTGGCTCTCAGCAGCGCGATCACCACCTGCCTGGTGGAATCGATAGGGACGGAGGGAATGAGGGGGCATGGGAGAACGAATGAGAGGGGGGAGGGGGGGTATGACTGCCTATGCCCCCCGCGCCCTTGGCTCTCAGCAGCACAATCACCACCTAGAGAAGGAGGGGATGAGGGAGCATGAGAGAAAAATTGAGTGAAATTGCGTACCTTGATGCACCCCTGAGTGAGATGGAAAGGAAAGGTGGAGGAAGGAAAAAGGAAGCCGCAGAAGAACTTGAGCTAGGTTATGCAATATTACACAGTAAAGCATGAGCACCAGGGAAAATCAATGATGGCATCGGAGAAAGAAGGTGAGCACCAGAAAACAAGGCACCTGGAAAGAAAGGAGCACCTAAAACGAACTGAGGGCAACCTAAAGGAACTGGCTAGGCGGTCAGGAAGGGGCGTGACAATGAGGTAAAGGGAAAGGCAGAAAGGCAGTGAGCTGAGCCTTAGTGCTAGCGGTGCGGTAGCTAGACTCTAGTGCACGTTTGACGAAAGTGGGGAAGGACGCAAGATCAGGGAACAGCATCGGGAGGATTAGGCGACCAGCAGAGGCGGAGGCTTGGGTGGAATAGCGCGCTATCACAGCATCTAAGAATTCTTTGGCGTTCGCTACAGTGGTAAAGCGGGGACGCTCAAACAGGGGAAGTGCGCGATTGATAGCAAGCTGCGCAACCGCATCGCGCGACTCCCAGACAGCGCGAGCAAGTGCAACAACGGAAAATGCCTCATGCTCAGCACTGGTGGGGGTATCAGGGAGGGCAACAGGCGCAGCACGACGGGGAAGCAGGCCATCAACATGAACAGCCAGGGAGTGACCGTCGTGGCGCTGACCTGTAAAGTGCCGGTGCAGGTCGACGAGCTACGCCTCATAGCCGATCGCTCGGCCCTCCGCATCCAGGCGGAGCAGTGAGTCCACCATCATCCCGGCTGCATCAGCTGACTGCCGCTGACAGGGAGAGGAGGAAAGGAAAAAGAAGGCAGCTGAGAGTGGTGGAGAGCGGTGGAGAGTGGTGGAGAGTGATGGAGAGCGGTGGAGAGCGCTGGAGAGCGTTGGAGAGCGGTGGAGTGCAGTGGAGAGCGGTGGAGTACGGCGGAGTGCAGTGGAGTGCGGTGGAGAGCAGTGGAGAGCGGTGGAGACAGCCGGCAGATGTGCCGGCTCAGAAGGGAGCCAAGGCCGGTAGGTCCGGGGGCGGCAGAGCGTCACGGCGGCGCAGCTACTCAGCGGCTCGGCGGTACGGCGACGCGGCAGCTGGACAGCGCGGGGCCGGTGCGGGCTGTGGCCGGCAGAGCAGGGGCCAGCGAGCGAGAGGCCGGCGGGGCGCGCAGGGCTAGCGGGGCGCTAACGGGGCCAGCGGGGCAAATGGGGCCAGCGGGGCGCACGGGACCAGCGGGGCACACAGGGCTAGTGGGGCGCGACGGGGCTAGCGGGGTGCGAACGGTGCCAGCGGGGCATACGGGGCCGGCGGGGCTCACGGGGCTAGCGGGGCTCGACGGGGCCAGCGGTGCGCTAACGGGGCCAGCGGGGTGAACCGGGCAAGCGGGGCGTACGGGGCCGGCGGGGCGCACGGGGCTAGCGGGGCTCGACGGGGATAGTGGGGCGCGAACGGGGCTAGCGGGGCGTTAATGGGCGAGTGGGGCTTACGGGGCCAGCAGGGCGCTAAGGGGCTAGCGTGGCGCCAACGGGGCCAGCGGGGCGCTAAGGGGCGGCTAGGACTAGGCCTAAGGCAGAAGCGTGAGTGGGTGGGGGGGGACCTAACCTAATGTGATACCATATTAAAGTGAGAATCGAATGGTAGAAGTGAGATAACAAGGTGCTTTTGTGCTAAGGGATTGCACTCTCTAAGAGTACGCACCTACCTATAAGACATATATATGTTTTGACACGTACAACCTTGTAGGATACAGTACCATATCCAGCATAGAATCTGTCTTGTACTAGTATGGACATGCAATGCAACGGTCTAAATCTAAATCAACCTTCAGTGTAAGGCAGCAGCAACATCTTTGTGTTGGCATCACACAACAGGCAACAACCACAAGCACCAGAAAGCTGGAGGGGCATACACCCAGAGGCTGGTGGTGAGGTGAGGTGACCCGACCACGCTTCCACCATTTCCCTAAAGCCCAAGGGCCGCCAAGAGCGGCTCTTGCTTCAGCAATCCAAGGGTGGTTCTTGTCCAGCAGTCCAAGGTTGGTTATTTATTTCTTCAGCCATCCATTCTGATCCACGGCTTGGGGGGAACGGGCCGCCGCCTCCTTGCCGCCGACGCTGCTGCGTTCTGCACAAACCCGCACTTGTGGCTGTAGCCTCCCATCTCCTCACCGGCTGTAGCCTCCCATCTCCTCATCCGCTGTAGCCTCCCATCTCCTCATTGGCTGTAGCCTCCCATCTCCTCATCGGCTGTAGCCTCCCATCTCCTCATTGGCTGTAGCCTCCCATCTCCTCATTGGCTGTAGCCTCCCATCTCCTTATCGGCTGTAGCCTCCCATCTCCTCATCGGCTGTAGCCCCCCCATCTCCTCATCGGCTGTAGCTTCCCATCTCCTCATCCTCGTCCTTCTCCATCTCATCCACAAAACCCCCTCCCATCATTTCCCTCTCCTCCCCTTCCTCCTGATCCTCCCCCTCATCCCCCTGCTCCCCCTGCCCCCCTGCTCCCACTCCTCCCCCTCACTCCCTGCTCCCCCTGCCCCCCCTCCTTCCGCTCCTCCCCCTCACCCCCTGCTCCCCCTGGCCCCACTCCTCCCGCTCCTCCCCCTGCTCCCCCTGCCCCCCCTCCTCCCTCTCCTCCCCCTCCCCCTCCTGCAGCGGCAGCTGCACCTCGCCCTGCAGAAAGCACTGAGTCCCTCAGCGCACCACTGAGGTGCTCCTCCGAATCAGCATGTGCCCAAACCGAAACCCAGCCGCCCGTTGCCGCCCGCGTACAGTAGATGGTGTGAACGCATACGGCATTCCTTTCACCAGAAGCATCTCAGGCACCACACCACACTCCACTCCACAGGCAGCTCTACCCCACGCTCTACCCCACTCTCTACCCCACATCTCCAGTCAGTGATGAAAACGATCAAGTATGGCCAAGAAGCATTGTCTGCACTAGACCAGACAACAGCACCAACAGCACTACCAGCATCAACAGCACCAACAGCACCACCCATCAGCGCCAACAGTAGGCACTGCTGACAACAGCACCGGCCAATGGCCCCCTGGCTGAGAACCCTTCACCAGCAGGGCTGTGAATCTAAGCTCTTCACCACTGCTTAGTAGTTGTTTGAGAGGTAAACAGCCCTACTGTGCGCCTTCAGGAGGTGATGGTGCGACAGCAGTGGCAGTGAGAGCAGGGGCCGGAGCATCTGGCACAGGAACAGGCGAACTGGCACCAGGCACCTCACCAGCAGTGGCAGCAGCGGCAGCAGCGGCAGCAGTGGCAGCAGTGGCAGCAGTGGCAGCAGCATGAGGAGAAGCAGGGACTGCAGACGCAGCAGCCGCGGCAGGAGATGGAGCAAGAGCAGAGGTGGAAGCGAGAGGAGGAGGAGAAGCAGCAGGAAACGGGGAGGCAGCTAAAGCAGGAGCAGCAGGAGCAGCAGAAGCAAAAGGAGCAGCAGCAGCAGCAGGAGCAGAAGCAGCAGGAGCAGCAGGCGCAGGAGCATCCCGGCCCTCTTCATCCCTGTCACTCACAGCCCTTCCCACCCCTCCCATCCCCCCCACCCGCCAGTCATCCGTCCTCTCCCTCTCCGCCTTGAACTGCTTCATATCCTCAATCATCTGCTTCTTCAGCCGTAACACCAGGTTGTACTGTGCGGTAACCGCATCCCTCCTTATAATGAGCGTCTCGTAGCGCACAGAGGCCATGTCGCAGCGCGCCAGCACCACCTTGTGCTGCGCGATGGCCTTCTGGATGAGCGCCACCACCACTTGCTCTCGCTGCACCAGCCGCCCCAGCTGCGACGCCAGCTCCGCTGGAGGCCGCTGAGGCTGCTGGGGCTGCTGTTGGGGCTGTGAATGCCCCTGCTGCTGCTGCTCCTGCTCCTGCTGCTGCTGCTGCTGCTGTTGCCGAGGAAGCAGCTGCTGTGTCTTCTCTTCCTGGAGCTCGCTTCCACCTACCCCACTCCCACTGGGTTTGTCTTCGTCTCCCTCCGTCCCCATCCCAACAGCTGCAGCTGTCCGCCGCCCCACAGCGCCGCCATCCCTCTGCAATGCGTGAGCAGCCCCAGGCGGCACCCGAACCTCTGCCCCAGTCGCACTGGGTCCATCCTCCCCTATCCCCCCCGCCACGTCGCCTCCATTTCTCCGCAACCCCTCTGCCGCCCAGGTCGCTGTTGCTGCTGACGCTGCTGCTGCCACCGCGGCTGACGCTGCCGGTGCTGCCGGTGCTGCTGATGCTTCTGCTGGTGAAGCAGCGGTTGGCGCTGCAGTTGATGCCGAAAGGCCGCTTGACCACCTTTCCTCAGCTGCCCGGCTTGACTCAGCAGCAGGCATTGCTGAGCTGTCAATCAGCAGGCTTCCACCTGGGCCAGCCACGTCAGCTGCCGGCCGTGCTGACCGGCCAATTAGCAGACTGCCACCTGGGCCAGCCATGTCAGTAGCCGGCCGTGCTGACCTGTCGAACAGCAGGCTTCCAGCGAGACCAGCCGTGTCAGCAGCTCTAGCTGCCGCCACTTCAAGATTGCGCCGCCACTTCTCTCCCTCACACCTATCTACCGCTGCTGCATTCACTTCGGTTCCTGAAGCTGACAAGAACTGAAAGGTGCTGCCGCCCTTGCCGCCCTCACATTCATCCGCTGCTGCGCGGGAGGTGCTGCGCTCGCGCGCAGCTTGAGGCGCAAGGTTGCCATCTCCGGGCGCATCAGACGCGACGGGCGCGCAGGAAACGGCAGGCGCGCAGCTCTCTTGCGCGGAAGGAGCGCCATTCTCTTGCGCAGCAAAGTCGCGAGGGCAAACGCCCGTGGCGCTAAGGTGCTCCCCGCGCAAGCCTCCCCAGGCAGCGGCGGAGCCTTTCCACCGCGTCCCCGCCACACACGCGGAAGCCTCCAGCTGCCCCTCCGCCTCCACGATCTCCACCGCGCAGAGGCACTCCCCGCACCCCGCGCAAACCCCCCTCCTCTTCCCCTCCCCCCCGCCCGGCCCATAGCCACCCCCCTCCCCGCTCGAACAGCTGCCCCGCCCGTCTTCCGCTTCCGCTCCCGCCTCCGCCTTCCCCTCCGCTTTCGCCCTCTCTTCCACACTCCCTTCCGCTCCCCGTCCCGCTCCCCCCATCGCTTCCGCAGCGGCGGCGGCGGCAGCAGCCGCGAGGTACTGCCCTTGCGCCATCAGCCGATCCCTGTCCGCCTCGAGCGCAAGCTTCTCCGCGCGGAGCTCCGCCTCGACGCGCTCGAGCGCCTCCTCGTCGGCGCGCAGCAAGAGGTGCTCGCGGCGCAGCAGGTCGCGCTCCGCTTCGAGGAGCGCCTTCTCGTCGTCCAATCGGAGCACTTGGCGCTCGACGCTCGCCTGCTGCGCGTCGATCTGCACGTTCTCGAGGAGGTGCAGGTGCAGGTTGCGAAGCGTGCGAAACACGAGATCGCCCATCGCGAAGGTAACGGTGACGGTTGCCTGTTTCGCTAGTAGCTAATCGTGAGTGGTGATAAAGCGACGGTCAACTGACGGTCAACTGCTTCAGATAGTAAATTTACGGGCAGGAACCGAACTGGTCTACGCCCGACATGAGGCGAGCGAAGCTTACAGATCAGATAAGAAGAATCGGCTCCTCCTGCAGACTCGGCAAGATCGGTAAGACTCGGCAAGATCGGTAGATAATGCAGCGAGCATGATGTGTCAGCATGATCGCTTGCTTGCTTGCACCTTCTTGAAGGGGAAGTGCGGAGTGTGTCAGCAAAATGGGGTAGGTATGGTAAGGATAATGGAGGCGACTTTGTCTTCCAAAACTCCTAAGACATTAGAGTAATTCTGCAGATTCTGTAAGATGTGATAAATTGGTGTATTTTTATCCTAACCATGTCAATTCATTTATACTACATGACATCACAGACTACCAGAACACTTTTCTAAATTACACAAATCATAATGGAAAGTTGAACTGTAACGCCACCTATTACAACTACTCGCAACCTTCCAGCGCGTACAGACCTTCGGGCCGCCTGCTGCTGGGAGCCTTGCCGTGGCTGGACATGCTTGAGTGTAGCGCATGGTGATTGTTCGGCGCGGTGCTCGTCGCCGATGCTTCTAACGAGGGAACCCCGCAGCTGCCAGCCCCCAAAAACCCGAAACCCGTCAAAACGTCACGATCGCTGCAGCTTGACGGCAACGACGAACTAAAGAAGCTGTCCATGCCCGTTGACCGGCAGCTGAAGCTGACGGCGCCGTCAGACGAGCTGGGCATGTCTTCCTCGCCCACAGCCGCGTACTCCTCCCCCTCGATACTGTCACACCGAAAGAAATTGTCATTTCCTGGCTCCACCCAGAAAGTCGAGCCGAAATTCTGCTCGGGAACAATGTCAGGTAAAATCGAAGGCTCCGCCATTTCCGCTATTGGAAATTCCCCAGCCATAAAAATGTCGTTGTGCACAGCAGCTGCTGCTGCTGCCATTGGCATTGCTGCCATTGCTGGCGCTGCTGCAACCGCGGGAGGCGCTTCCATCGCTTCCTCCAGCCCAAGGCTGAGACCGTCCTCATTGGACAAGAGGAATGTTGGAATGACTCCTTCCAGCTCACCTGCTGGCCAATCCACGTCAGCTTCAGCTGACGTTGCGACGGGTCCAGCTGTCGTCTTAACAATAGTCGTAGCAAATCCAGCTGGCAGGTTCTCGAGCACCGCTTGGGCAGCAACTTCGGCTTCCACAGCCCTCCCGCTATCATCACGCATGATACAGTCACTCGTACTCGCGCGTAAAGCTGCGTCTGCGCTGCCCGCGGCAGCAGCAGCAGCAGCAGCAGCAGCAGAAGCTGGCTCCACAGCACCTTCCGGGCAGCTACCGCCGACAGCTGGCTTCAAATCGCGCCGCCCCGAGCTCTCCTCTGTAAGCGCCACGGCCTTAGCGTCCGCCGCTCTTTCCGGGATGTCGTCCGTCATCAATGCCTCCTCCCACCAGCTCTTCTTATAGTCACAGTCGCCTACTGCCGCCCCATAATCCGTCGCCCGCTGTACCTCCCTGTACCCATCCGCATCGCTTCCCCCTTCCGCGCCCATCCCCGCCCCCACCCCCCACGGCCTATGCCCCTCCGACTTGGCCTTTTTCCCCGGAGGCCCAAATGTTCCGAACCCGAACGGGTCTCCCCCGGCCTGCGCCATCCAATCATCCTCGTCCACGTCAGCCTCCATGGTCTCCCCGTCTCCCCAGTCGCCGCGCTGGTAACCACGCGAGTAACCAGCGACGGAGCCGAATGCGCCACCGCCGTCGGATGCGGCTCGCTGCGCCGTCCTGTTGCGCGGGAGATTCGGCTCGGACGTCCACGAGGCGATGGAGACGGACGGATGCACGGCAGCGGATGGAATCTGCGGAGTGGTGTGAATCTGCGGCGGCTGCTTCCAACTGCGATTCGTGACGGCTGGCGCAGCGGTAGTGGTCGCAGTCGTGAGAGTCGCGGGAGTCGCGGGAGTCACGGGAGCCGGGCGGTGGAACGAGCTTGGAGGGGCCGCGTCAACGCCAACAGCGGCGCCAGCAGCGGAGCTGTCGCGCAGCTCGCGCAGGCCCGGCCTCCCCTCCACAGCCTCGGGGACCGTCTCCATGGCGGAACGCTTGCGCGTCACGGGGACGGGGGAAGGCGTACAGGGGGAAGGTGCGCAGGGGGGCTGAGGGGACGCAGGCCCGCTGGGGGTTGAGGAGATGGGCGTAGTGTTGTGTGGGCCCAAGGAATGTGCAGGGGCTGCTAGATGAGCGTTCTGGGCTGCGACGGTACTAGTCCTCGCGATCGCACCGTGCTGCTGCGACACATGCTGGTTGAGGAAGGGAAGATGCAGCAGCGCTTTGGGCTTCTGCGCGGAATTCGACACCCGCGTGGGCGCAAGAAGCGCAAGAGGGGCGGCGGGTGCTGCAGCAAGCGGCGAAGGTGAAACAGCGGGGACCGCTGTTGCGGCAGGCGCGCTGCTAGAGGTAGTTGCGCACGTGGACGGGACAGAGGTGTTGGAGAGTAGGGGGATCGCCGCAGAGGGCGCGGGGCTTGGCTGGACGATGGCAGCGCGGGGAAGCATGAGGGGGGAGAAGACGGAGGTCTGCTGAGGGGCGGACTGGGGTGTACGGGGCGGAAGCGCGGATAGCGGCTGCGCCTGATACTGCTGGATCGGCTGCACCTGCTGCGGCGGCGGCGGCTGCTGCTGCTGCTGCGGCGGCGGCGGCGGCTGCACCTGCTGCTGCGGCGGCGGTTGCGGCTGAGCGTGCGACACGGCTTGGACGACCAAGTGGGCCTGCCGATTCGACGCAGAAAGAGGAGCGGAGAGCGGAGGGTCGTTCAGGAAACTCAGCTGCGCCCTGGGAGGCTCCTTGGGGAAGTTCAGCTGCGCCTTGGGTCCGCGGATCTCCCGCGCGGCCTCGTCGTACGCGCGAGCCGCCTCCTCGGGAGTGTCGAACGTGCCCAGCCACACTCGCCCCCGCCCGCCGGCGTCGCGAATCTCCGCCGCCCACCGACCCCACGGCCGGTACCGAACACCGCGATACGGCACAGCCAGAGCGTTGCCCCCGCCGCCACTCGTGTTCTGCCCGCTACTCGCGTTGCTCCCGCCGCCACTGCCGCGAGCGCCAGGTGCGGCGGGTCCCCCTCCGCTGCTGCTGGCACTGCGATCGACCGCCATCTGCGGCTTGTTCCACTCCGTAATCGCCGCGCGGCTTCGCAAGGGGCTGATTGGGTGCGACCTGCTGCCGCTCCCTGCGACTCCTGCGACGCCGCTAGCGATCCCTGCGACGCCTAAGACGGACGACGGGGTGGGAATCGACGGAATGGGGACGGCCTGGCCCTGGTGAACGGAGAGCATCTGACGGATGGCCTCCTGAACCTTGCCGGCGATGAGAAACTGCTGGCTGGAAGTCGCCGGCGACGTTACTGACGCCGGCTGAGCGGCTGCACTAGCGGGGGGGACAGTCCGGGGTGTGGGAGTTGGTGGCGTGGCAGAAACCGCCGCCGTGGTTCGGAGGGATGTAACCATTGGGGTCTCGACGGATGGCGCATTTCCCGGCTTCGGAGAAACTGCACGCGCTGGTGGTACTGCTTCAGCCGGTGATGGGCCGCTATTGTCTATCTGCTTGGATGTTGCCGCCGGGCAAATCATGCAGCTGCAGGCAGAGCAGCGAGTGCATGCTGGCGTTTCGCCAGCTACTAACGGCTGAGGAGGCGTGTCGTGATCGGTTGAGGGGTTGCTCGACTCGAACCACTGATCGAAATCGTCCGCCATTTCTGCTAGGAGCGTGTCATGGTCGCATGAGCTCATTCCCAGTTGCTCTACTGCCTTCCTAGCTTGCCTTGCCAAGGCTTGAGAATTGCAGATTGCGGGTTGAGAATGATGTCCACGAGGCCAACGAGTGGGTTTTCTTGCGAGAAATCGAGTGGGAGAATGGAGGCGTGTTGTCGGTGCCGTGTTGAAATAGCCCACGCCCCCCCTTCCTTGCAGCCAGCCACGCGGCGGGCGGAACTGATGCGCAGTAAGCCGGGGGAACGAAAACGGCGCGTTGCGGCAAACATTCTGGCGCATTTTGAGGGGGATCTGGTGAGTTGCGGAGGTGGGGTGGGGGGGAAGGCGGAACCTCGCTTGCCGCGTAGGCGAGGCGTCCGCGGCGATGCACAACCGCTATGTGGGCGGAAGAAGGGAAAGGGGCACGGGTTTGGGTTGACGCGGCACAGAGAAATTTCGCAAATACTCGGCAGGGCGAAAACAACGAGATGGACGGAATGTAATCGACGGTAACTTCTGCTCCATCGCGAACAGGTTGACAATCCAGCGGTACAAGCCGGAACACAGTTCTGTAACGCGTAATCTTGTTACAAGCGCGTTGTTAACGAAACTCGACAGGGCGCCGCGTCAAAGCGGCTTTGCGATGCGACGCCAAGAGCGGCGGATTGACCGTAGTCAGCGCATCGACGACCCCCTAGAATTGATCCCTCAACGCAAAGCGACAAATCCATCACCTCAACCTCAGCCTCGCTGCCACTCGCCAGGATGGTGCTTCCAACGCTTCGGCCGGCTGGAAGATGCCGAAGCTGGCTTGAGCGTCCACTTCACTGCCACGCGTCAGAAAATTGTGGAACAAGAGTTGGCTGACCGTAACTGTGAAGCACCTCACTTGACGGCCTTTGCTGCAACCGTCAACATCACGGCCGGCCTGAGCAACCAGACACAATGAAGGTTTGGCTCCGGGCAGTTCCAGGCCTAGAAATCGTTAGCTCCATCCAGGTTTGGTGTGCTCGATACGCCAAGCTGTCTGAGGATTTAGGTTCGGACGTTGAAACCTGGACCTGATCAACATCGCTTCTGTGATGACGGCGCGATTCAACAACCGGTCCGCCGTCACTTCACAGCATATACAACACCCGGACAGAACTAATGGTTTGATAGGTTATGGTTAAATAAGCGATTTAGGCTAACCACATTTTTTTTTTCCTTTTACCCCATATCAGTATGAAAACAAGTGCATGCAGAAAATAGAGAGATAAGCGTGGCAGCGAACCAGTGCAAAGCGATTGCACCACAAATCATATGTTTGTACCGTATGTCGGCAGTACACGCTGATAGTAGCTCGTCAGCAGAGCAAAAGAGAATAGTACAAGATGGGTGGAGTTAGCAGGGTTAGTTGAGCCGGCGACACAACTACTGCTGGAATTGTACGTACGGCTGCCGGAGCAATATTGTTGCTGCTGCCAGTTGTATTGTAGCCAGCTTGACACCTGTTGTAGCTGTTAAAGCATCACCATGACACCAGCTGCTGTCAGTGGCAGGTCCATCCTGCATTTGCCTGCTCCAGGTCCCAAGCCTGGCTCGTATTCACCGATCCTCCTTTATAGACGCCAATCTTGCTTCGTATTCCCAACCCTGCTTTGTATTCGGCAACCCTGCTCCAGGTCCCGAACCTGCTTCGTATTCCCCAACCCTGTGTCCCCAACCCTGCTTCCCCGACCCTGCTTCCGTGGCCTTGCTTCATATTTCCTGACCCTGCTTCTCCGACTCTGCTTCCCCAACCCTGCTTCCCCGGCCCTGCTTCGTAACTGCCGACCCAGCTTCCTCGACCCTGCTTCGCACTCCCCGACACAGTTTCAAACCCCAAAACATACTTCAGGTACCACAAAGCTGTAGTGCTGCTGCTGCTGCTGCTGCTGCTGCTGCTGCAGGTACAGAAAGGCAGCCCCCAAGCGATTCCATATGAGCTCCAGCTCTCCTTCACCGTGGTCTGACGAGCAGCCAGATGCGTGTGTGAAAGCAGGCAGTGCTGCACCTACAGACTGCAGCCTCAGATTCTAAGGGCTGCAGCGGCGGCGGAGGAGGCGCTCAGACATGCGCACAGAGGAGTATGGCGATGCTGCTGCTCTCGCCCGGTCGGACGTCCGGTCAGAGGTTCGAGTGGTTGCAGATAGATGTGCGCCCGCTCTCCTGTTGCCAGCCGAGCGAGAGGAGCGCGCTGCAGCAGGGGTCATGGGGGGGGATGCAGGGGACAGCAGGGGTCAGGGGGGGGTCAGGGGGGGGGGATGCAGGGGACAGCAGTAAGAAGAGGAAGGGTGGTTATCTGCGGAGTGGACCGGAGCAGGGGAACATAAGGTAATTTATCACATCTGACAACAGACAGGAGAGCCCCCACTCTCTGATGAAGGAGCGAGCTGTGTCAGGAGCAATGGGGGGGGGGGGGGGAGGAGGGGGACAGCGGAAAGGCGATCTTTAGTCTAACGCAGCGGACAACCAACAAGGGGGCACCTGCTCTCTCCCCCGTTCAGATAAGTGGTCAGATGTCCGTGTAGCACCCGCTCTCCGAATTTTGAGGCGCCTCAGACATGATTTTTGAAGCACCTCAAAGAATATATTTGAAGCGCCTCAAAGAGCAGTCAGATGCCCGTGTAGCACCCGCTCTGAGGTTGCCAGCAAAGCGAGAGGAGCGAGCAGCAGCAGAGTGGGAAAACAATGCTGAATCGGACAGGGGCACAATGGAGAACCGACATGACAGGGACAGCGGCTGGTTGGTTGGATATACGGATGAAGTGACAGAGGCGGAATGAACACAGACCCCACCCCACCATGCAAGGAAACCAGCATTCCCTAGGATGCTGGAAACATCTCCTCCCTCGTCTATCCACATGGTGTTTAGAATCCAATAAAGATCCTAGTGAAACGCAATGCTAAATATAAGAGACCCCTGAGGCATGGGGGTACCCCTTTCGTTGCTTCTGGAAACAAACTTCATATAAGAGTTTCACTCACGCTGGAAAACATTTGACTGCTCGTTGTGCATGTACCAGAACAATTCTGCACGAAAAACGCAAACGCGTTTCGCCAATCTCAACGAAGCTGCGAAGTGGCCAGCTCGGCCAGCACGGAATGTATGTGCCTCGCGCAGGCGAATTTTGCCAGAAATTGCAGTCGCTAGTTACGAATTCGAGCTTCAAATTTGAAAGTTTCAGCTGCATGGGTTTCGTGCGGGCGGTGTAGTCTCCAACCTTTCGTTGCTTCTGGAAACAAACTGAACAAGTTTTGAGGCACCTCAAAACGGGCAGAAAATACGGAGTTTGGGAACGGAGCGGAGCCTCCGCTCCCACTTTACACACCCCCTAACACAGTACATACCAGAGACCCCTGAGGCACGAACAAACCCCCACCCCCCTCCCCTCTGCAGCCTGCCATACCTCGCGACCATGAATTTATCTCTGCTCGGTGCTCCGCATCCGTCCACTTGGCTTCGTGGCCGAAGGGCGGCCGCGCTCTGCGGTCAGACGAAGATGAGGACGCGAAAAGAAGAGGGAGAATGAAGTGGATTACCAGCAACGCTCAAGAGCATTGTTTGGGGGGACAAACAACGGGGATAGCTGCTGAAGAACAAGAAAGATTTCTAGCCGGCCTAAGACACACATGCCCCAAATTTACCCGCAAAATGGTCAGATCTGGCTCTGGAAATCCTTAAAAAATAAATCAGAAATCGGACTCTCCCAACATTCACTAACTAACGCCTGATCTGAAGCCATGGCTTTCTACCACCCTATTCTCAGAATCTCAACTCACCCATCATCGTCGTCGTATCTTCGATTGCACTCCCGCGCGTCCTCATCCCCATCCCTGCTAGCGCCAGCTCCGTTAAAAACACAAGGCGGGCCCGTCCACTCCGGTACACTGGCCTGGAACATGGGTCCTACGCGCGTGTACCCCACGGGCGACAGCCACGCCCTCTGCAGCAGCCAGTGGCCCTTGTGATCCGCCACGCTGTCATTACTATCGTTCCCGTCTCCTCTACCCGCCCTGCCTCGCTTCTCGAAATTCTGCAACCACGGCTCCTCGTTATTGCTCTTGCTGTTGCCCTTTCCGTTGCTGTTACTGTTGCTGCCGCCGCCGTTGCTTTTCCCACCGCTGCCTCGCCTGTCCCTTCCGCTTCTTGTGCCTTCTCGCCTCTCCTCCTCCTCCTCCTCCTCTCGCGGTACTAGAACCACAACATCGCCATCATCACCATCAGCATCAGCATCAGCATCAGCACCATCGTTGCCTATGCATACATCAGGTTCCAGTAGAACCACATCGCCATCCTCACCGTCCCCTTCCTGCTGCTCAACATCTAACCGTACATTCTCTCCCGGCTCTTGGATCGCCGTCCGTCTGTTCGCCGCGCACTCGTCGGCCCACACCACCACCACCGTCCCTTTCCGCTTCTCCTCCACGTCGCACAGATCGCACACCCACTCGCCGTCCTTGTCCACGTGGACCTCCCCTTCGCCAGCCGTCGCGAGACAACCGACGTGGTAACTCGCGAAACACAAATCGCAGAGTACCGTGTTTTCGTCCTCGTCCTCGCCGCAGACCAGGCATGGCGAAGCGGAGGCGGATCCGTCCCCAACCCTCCCAGGATGTGCGGCTGGAGGTGGCCCTAGAATAACGCCATCTTGAATAGCCCCATCCTCCACTGTGAACCGTTCGATTTGACACGTGGCGAGATCCTGTCGCGTGCCGAAAGTGGGTTCCTCGCACGGCGGTAGGTTCTCGAAGGCAGCGGCGACAGGGACCAGAGCTACCGGCAGCGTGGCGCACACCGCTGGAACCTCACCAATCGGCTCCTTGTAATCCCGATGCGCGTCCAGAAAAGGCCGGGCAAATCGCTGCTCGCAAAGCATCGTTCCCGATCCAACGTAAGCGAGCTGCGTGCTTGGGATATGCGAGTCACAGCTTCCAGATCTCAGCTTTGACTGCTGCAGCGAAGAATGAACAATATAACGAACCGACTTTTCTTCTAGAAGCTACAAATTAAGCTGATGGAAAGTATGAGTAGAGCCGAGTTAGGCGGAGTGCGCCGAAGAAGCAGCGTTGCAGAAGGAGCAAGGAGCCGTGTGATTGGGGAGCAACAGAGCTCAAAGGCGTAAGGGAAGAGAAGGAAATTAGCAAGTCATGAATCAGAGCTAAAATCTACGAGCCTCGCAAGGTTCTAGAAGCCCCCTCAAGATTGGTCTAGTACAGTTCTAGACCGACCAAACTGTCTCTAGGGAGTTGTTTGATTCTAGGCAAGAGAGAGCATCGAGCAGGGGTTTCATCCACAGCACTCACGTGCTTGGCGAAACCCCATTTCGCGAACTTGCGTCTGCGAAACTCACCCCTTAGCTATAAGCTGGTCAATTCGGTGTCACGAGGGCTTGCCACAGTCTGACATTACGTGCCTCTGACAGATAGGGTACAGTGGCGCACCGACACGTGTCGAGCGTTACACATTTTTCTGTCACGCAACTTCGTGTCCAATTTCGCGATCGCGAAATCTCTCCCTCCGCGCCAGCGGAGCTAAAAAACAAATACTGTACTCGTTTCAGATTACCCCATTTTTCGTCAGAATGGGTAGCGGTACATCTTGAACGAATTTTAGAGTCTAAAGAAACCGAGGAGGTGCTCCATGTTGCCAGTGCCCCGCATTGCCTTCAGCCCAGAACCGCCAACCCTAATTCTTCACAGGAACTTCTTCAAACCAACCTAGCAGTTCAGCACCTATTATCGCGCCCGCTTTATGCTGGTGAATGAACGAAGCAGACGAGCGGGACCCCAAGCTTTAGGAACTATTAATTTGCTCGCGAGCCACCCGTTTGTTAGCCGCCGATGGCGCAGCAAGCAGCTGACGCGATTCCCGGCGGGATTCCCGCAGATGTAGATGGCTGCCAGCTGGCCACTTCAGGCAGCGATCCGTTAACGGCAGCCGGCCAGTTTGACGGTCTTAAAACGGAAGATTTTACGGACGGGCAAGGAGAACCGGACGTGAATCCTGCGAGTCAGGAGCCACGTGTGGTTAGGGAAATTGACGTCTTCCTGATGCCACGTGTCGACGATCAAACCAAGGCACGCCTCGGGAATTGGCTTTAGGATTATGTTTTCTTCTTACAGTCCTTCAAACACTTCAGTACGAGGCTGTCAGAGCAGGTCAGAGCAGGTCAGAGCAGGTCAGAGCAGGTCGGAGCAGGTCAGAGCAGGTCAGAGCAGGTCAGAGCAGTTCGGAGCAAGTCAGAGCAGGTCGGAGCAGGTCAGAGCTGGTCGGAGCAGTTCGGAGCAGGTCAGAGCAGGTCAGAGCAGGTCAGAGCAGGTCAGAGACGGCTTTCTCTCCCTACAGTTCCAGCGGAAGCGCTTCCATGTGTGGCATCTCCTGAGCATCTCCGCGCGAGGCGACCAGAGGACACTGTCTGCCCGTGCTCTCTGGCTCATTATGCCCTATGCCCGCACCATGCCCCATGCACCATGCCCCATGCACCATGCCCCATGCCCTATGCCCGCACCATGCCCCATGCCCTATGCCCGCACCATCCACCATGCACCATACCACTTGCCCCGTGCCCTATGCACCATACCCCATGCCCAATGCCCCATACACCATGCCTCATGCCCAATGCCCCATGCCCCATGCACCATGCCCCATGCTCCATGCACCATGCCCTATGCACCATGTCCCATGCACCATGCCCCATGCACCATGCCCCATGCACCATGCCCCATGCACCATGCACCATGCCCCATGCCCCCTGTCCCGTGCGCAGTTGTACCTGTTCCAGTACCCCCTGCGGCCATCCTGGCGACCCTATGGGCTGGAAGAGCGATGCCAGGAGGTGAGTGGGTGGTGCCAGATGGGAGGAGATGCCAGGAGGTGAGTGGGTGGTGCCAGATGGGAGGAGATGCCAGGAGGTGAGTGGGTGGTGCCAGATGGGAGGAGATGCCAGGAGGTGAGTGGGTGGTGCCAGATGGGAGGAGATGCCAGGAGGGGTAAATGTGAGTGATAGGGCATGATGGGGTAGTGATGGGTGATTGGTGCCAGTGGTGGGTGAGTGATGGGTGAGTGATGGGTGTATGATGTGACTGAGTGATGGGTCAGTAGCGAGTGAGTGATGGTCGTATGGCTAGTGCCGCTAGTGTGAACGTTTAGCATTATTATCTCTATTGTTCCTAGATGGCTTGCCAAATGCATGGCGTGTGTATGCGTGTGCGTTTTCAAATGTGTAAGCACTCACGAATCCCCCACACTGAGAAAACCTCATGCATTCTCGTAAGCGAATATGGCACATGCTATATGTGCAATGCACATGTGATCGCGGATGTGACTGTACATGTGGAATGTATGGGGGGGAGTTGGCATGGCAGATTCGGGTGCGCCCGTTACAATCACGTGTGGAGGTGGATCTAGCCATCGATACAAGCGACTCCTCCTATGATCACGATGCTGCGGACCAACTCAAGCAGACCACGCAGGTACTTTCAACTAGGGTTGAGCAAACTACCCGCCCGGGTCGGGTACCCGGTACCCGGACCCGCTTTTAGGGCGGGTCGGGTATCGGAAATCCTGAAAATTACCCGCCGGGTCGGGTCCGGGTTACCCGGGCCGGGTATCAATACCCGCTACCCGAAATGCTACCCGACGTGTCGGGTGACGGGTACCCGACCCGGTCGGGTAAAAAATTACCCGAGGTCGGGTATTCCACCTAGACATGGGCGTAAGTCGCGCTGTGTTTTAGGTTTTGCGGCAAAACAGTTTTGGAGGTGAGGGGGGACGAGTGGAGCCCTACCTAGGCTAGCCCTACCTAGCCTAGCCCAACTTTAGGATGTCCACTAGTAGGTGGCGGGTAAAATTACCCGCTTTTCAGGGGGTCCGGGTCGGGTATACCCGGACCCGCCAGGCGGGTATTATAACACCCGCCTAAAAAAACCGGGTCCGGGTAAGGGTCCTGGGCATATTACCCGACCCGGACCCGACCCGAAATTACCCGACCCAAGGTCGGGTATGGCAAAACCGGGTCGGGTCGGGTAATTACCCGGTTTTGCTCATGCCTACTTTCAACTGTATGGGAAATTCCCTATGCCATCCCCGTAACCTGTTACTTTCAATCACGTGTGGACATGGATTTAGTTATTGATATAAGGCAGTTCTCTTATCATAACGGTGCTGTCAAGCAGACCACGCAGGTACTGTTCATGGCGTAATCAACAGAGATATGACCATGTTTATGGTGCCATCATCTTACATGATGTCGACCATCATCTTACATGATGTCGTGTCGACCATCATCTGACATGATGTCGACCATAGCATTGCATGTCACAACAATCACTCTTCCCCCTCTCTCATCCGCCTCTCTCATCTCCTCTCATCTCCTCTCCTCTCCTCTCCTTTCCCCATGGACCCCCCCGTGCAGACCCTCACCTCGTCCCAACTGAATTTGGCCACGAATTATGCTGCCGGCATCCTAAGAGGCAACGAGGTGCGTCCCTTGCTTGCGTGAACCGCCATCCCAGCTCTCACCATCCCAGCTCGCACCATCCCAGCTCTCACCATCCCAGCTCTCACCATCCCAGCTCGCACCATCCCAGCTCTCACCATCCCAGCTCGCACCATCCCAGCTCTCACCATCCCAGCTCGCACCATCCCAGCTCTCACCATCCCAGCTCATGCATGTTGCACTCACTCCCACATTTGCTCTCTCGCACCGCACCGTCCCAGCTGAGTCTGGTCTGGCCTGGCCACCAACTATGCCGTGCCGTGGGCATCTTAGGAGAGGCGGTGAGGTGTGCCCCTTGCTTGCTTGCACCGTGCCATGTTTGTCCCCCTCACTCGCTTCTCTGCTCTGCTCTCTCGCACCATCCCATCCCAGTCCAATCTGGCTGGCCGCCAATGATGCTGTGGGCAGACTAAGTGGCAGCCACGTGTGTCCCTTGCTTGCACTATGCCATGGCTCCCCATGTCTCTTGCTCCTCCTCCTCGTTTTTCTCAAAATTTCCCTCTCTCATCCTTTTTTGAGGCGCCTCAAAACTAAATTTCCCTCTCTCATCCTTTTTTGAGGTGCCTCAAAACTAAATTTCCCTCTCTCATCCTTTTTGAGGCGCCTCAAAACTAAATTTCCTTCTCTCATCCTTTTTTGAGGCGCCTCAAAACTAAATTTCCCTCTCTCATCCTTTTTTGAGGCGCCTCAAAACTAAATTTCCCTCTCTCATCCTTTTTGAGGCGCCTCAAAACTAAATTTCCTTCTCTCATCCTTTTTTGAGGCGCCTCAAAACTAAATTTCCCTCTCTCATCCTTTTTTGAGGCGCCTCAAAACTAAATTTCCCTCTCTCATCCGTTTTTGAGGCGCCTCAAAACTAAATTCCTTCTCCCATCCTTTTTTGAGGCGCCTCAAAACGAAATTTCCCTCTCATTCTTTTTGAGGCGCCTCAAAACTAAATTTCCTTCTCTCATCCTTTTTTGAGGCGCCTCAAAACTAAATTTCCCTCTCTCATCCTCTTTTGAGGCGCCTCAAAACTAAATTTCCCTCTCTCATCCGTTTTTGAGGCACCTCAAAACTAAATTCCTTCTCCCATCCTTTTTTGAGGCGCCTCAAAACGAAATTTCCCTCTCATTCTTTTTGAGGCGCCTCAAAACTAAATTTCCTTCTCTCATCCTTTTTTGAGGCGCCTCAAAACTAAATTTCCCTCTCTCATCCTCTTTTGAGGCGCCTCAAAACTAAATTCCTTCTCTCATCCTTTTTTGAGGCGCCTCAAAACTAAATTTCCCTCTCTCATTCTTTTTGAGGCGCGTCAAAACTAAATTTCCTTCTCTCATCCTTTTTTGAGGCGCCTCAAAACTAAATTTCCCTCTCTCATCCTTTTTTGAGGCGCCTCAAAACTAAATTTCCTTCTCTCATCCTTTTGTGAGGCGCATCAAAACTAAATTTCCCCCTCATCCTTTTTTGAGGCGCCTCAAAACTAAATTTCCCCCTCATCCTTTTTTAAGGCGCCTCAAAACTAAATTTCCTTCTCTCATCCTTTTTTGAGGCGCCTCAAAACTAAATTTCCCTCTCTCATTCTTTTTGAGGCGCGTCAAAACTAAATTTCCTTCTCTCATCCTTTTTTTAGGCGCCTCAAAACTAAATTTCCCTCTCTCATCCTTTTTTGAGGCGCCTCAAAACTAAATTTCCTTCTCTCATCCTTTTTTGAGGCGCATCAAAACTAAATTTCCCCCTCATCCTTTTTTGAGGCGCCTCAAAACTAAATTTCCCCCTCATCCTTTTTTGAGGCGCGTCAAAACTAAATTTCCTTCTCTCATCCTTTTTTTAGGCGCCTCAAAACTAAATTTCCCTCTCTCATCCTTTTTTGAGGCGCCTCAAAACTAAATTTCCTTCTCTCATCCTTTTTTGAGGCGCATCAAAACTAAATTTCCCCCTCATCCTTTTTTGAGGCGCCTCAAAACTAAATTTCCCCCTCATCCTTTTTTAAGGCGCCTCAAAACTAAATTTCCTTCTCTCATCCTTTTTTGAGGCGCCTCAAAACTAAATTTCCCCCTCATCCTTTTTTGAGGCGCCTCAAAACTAAATTTCCTTCTCTCATCCTTTTTTGAGGCGCCTCAAAACTAAATTTCCCCCTCATCCTTTTTTGAGGCGCCTCAAAACTAAATTTCCTTCTCTCATCCTTTTTTGAGGCGCCTCAAAACTAAATTTCCCTCTCTCATCCTTTTTTGAGGCGCCTCAAAACTAAATTTCCCTCTCTCATCCTTTTTGAGGCGCCTCAAAACTAAATTTCCTTCTCTCATCCTTTTTTGAGGCGCCTCAAAACTAAATTTCCCTCTCTCATCCGTTTTTGAGGCGCCTCAAAACTAAATTTCCCTCTCATTCTTTTTGAGGCGCCTCAAAACTAAATTTCCTTCTCTCATCCTTTTTTGAGGCGCCTCAAAACTAAATTTCCCTCTCTCATCCTCTTTTGAGGCGCCTCAAAACTAAATTCCTTCTCTCATCCTTTTTTGAGGCGCCTCAAAACTAAATTTCCCTCTCTCATTCTTTTTGAGGCGCGTCAAAACTAAATTTCCTTCTCTCTTCCTTTTTTTAGGTGCCTCAAAACTAAATTTCCCTCTCATCCTTTTTTGAGGCGCCTCAAAACTAAATTTCCTTCTCTCATCCTTTTTTGAGGCGCCTCAAAACTAAATTTCCCCCTCATCCTTTTTTGAGGCGCCTCAAAACTAAATTTCCTTCTCTCATCCTTTTTTGAGGCGCCTCAAAACTAAATTTCCCCCTCATCCTTTTTTGAGGCGCCTCAAAACTAAATTTCCTTCTCTCATCCTTTTTTGAGGCGCCTCAAAACTAAATTTCCCCCTCATCCTTTTTTGAGGCGCCTCAAAACTAAATTTCCCTCTCTCATCCTTTTTTGAGGCGCCTCAAAACTAAATTTCCCTCTCTCATCCTTTCTCGCCCCCCTCCATTCCCTTAACCCTCCAAGCCCCCTATGAGCTGTGCAACAGCTGCGCGCTCAACTAGGGTTTTAGGACAATGCAGACAATGCAGGCAGCAGACCCCTTACACGCTGCCTCGTGTTGTCCCCGTTCTCATGCCCCTTCCCCCCACAGCCCCACTTAAAGCCTCTACATGCTGACCCCTTACACGCTTCCTCTTCCTTTCCTCCTTTTTATCCCTGCTCTCGTGTTCCTTCCCCCCTCCTGCTCCATTTAAATCCGTTACATGCGGTGGTGTAGATGCGGCCGTCGTTCTCCCCTGCTCGTTTTCCTCTCCCCCCCCGCACCTCCCCCACCCCCAGCTCCATTTGAACCCCTTACACGCAGTGGTGCAGCTGCGGCCGTCGCTAGCTTACCTGGACTGGACAGTAGTGCAGACAAGCGGGAGGGAAATAGTCGATTTTTTAGACGACTAAAAAAAGGCCGTCGCTAGCTTACCTGGACTGGACAGTGCAGCAGACAAGGCGGAGGGAAAGAATGACTTGTAAGTTGCATCCCATCTTCCCTCCCTCCGTTTTATGGCCGCTCTTGTGTTGCTTCCCCCCCCAGCTCCACTTAAATCCCTTGCACGCAGTGGTGCAGCTGCGGCCGTCGCTAGCTTACCTGGACACTGCAGCGGACAAGGCGGAGGGGGGGAAGGGGAAGAAGAAGGGAGTGGTGGAGGGGGTGGAGGAGGAGGAGATGGCGGATGGGGAGGATGGGGAGGACAAGGCGGGGCCAGTGGCTCTGGAGGTGGGTTGATGGGCCAGTGGCTCTGGAGGTGGGTTGATGGGCCAGTGGCTCTGGAGGTGGGTTGATGGGTCTGGCCAGTGGCTGTGGAGGTGAGCACATGCGTTGAATGAAGGTGGTTGCATTGCAAGGGTCCAGTGACCCTTGAGCCGACAGTGGTGGGAGATGGGGTAGGTGCCGCCTGGGGAAGGGCAAACTGGAATGGGGATGAGGGAGGCGATAAGGCGGGGCCAGTTGCTCTAGAGGTGATCTTGCATGACGACAAGACAAGGTGTGCTTGAGTCAACTCAAATTCCACAACGCGCTGCAGGCGAGTGCATGTGCATGGTTCCTCCCGTGCTGCAGCTGGAAGAAGGGCAAGATGGGTTGGGGGAGTTGGAGATGGGGATGGGAAGGGCAGTGCAGAATGTGGGCCTGTGGTTCTTCTTGAGGGAAATAGAAAATGGAAAGTTCATGCTTCTTGGCTCGCACTATGATTTTGCTTCCTTTCTTCACATTCCTGCCTGTCCTCTCTTCGCACTTCAATTGCTGCTCCCCTGTGCCACCGTGCTCCTCGCATCTCAACTCTCCACTAATCCCGTGCCCCAGTGACTTATGAGTCGGCTCATCCCCACTCATCCTGTACCCCCACCCACTCATCCTGTACCCCCACCCACTCATCCTGTACCCTCACCCACTCATCCTGTGCCCCTGCCCAACCTGCAGGTGAGTTTGAAGAAGCGGGAGACGGAGGAGCAGGAGGAGTTGCGGCTGCAGTCATACGCGCACATCCACACCCTGCGAGAGAAAGAGGTCAGTCCTCCGTCCGTGCCACGAGCTGCGCGGCTGCGCACAGCAATGGTGCACGCACAGGAAATCGAGGGCGATGCCTTCCTAGCGCTAGACATGAGCAAAACCGCCCGACCCGACCCAGTTTTGCCCTACCCCCGATCGGGTCTGGGTCGGGTCGGGTAATTTCCGGGTAATGTTTGGAGGTCTGTTACCCGACCCGACACTTTAGTACCGGGTAATTGGGTAACCGTCTGGCGGGTCGGGTATACCCGACCCGCATTTAATTGAAGTCAGGTAATATTACCCGGGTACCCCTAGGTGGAAGTAAAATTCAGCAAACCCGGAGTAACAAACCCAAAGTCGGGTCGGGTACCCGCGATCCGACGGGTAATAAACTACCCGACATTTTGGGTAATTCTCGGGTAACGGGTATGCATTACCCGGCCCGAGTACCCAACTCGACCCGGCCAGGTAATTCGTAAAAAACCTATTACCCGACCCGGCCAAAATGTTGGGTCGGGTCGGGTACCTGCGACCCGACCGGGTAAAATGCTCAAGTCTACCTAGCGCGCTGTTATCGGTGCTCACGTCCACAGCAATGGTCTGACTTGATGGATGTGATGCTGCCGCTCCGTAACCCACCTGGTTACCATCTGTCCTGCTCACTCTGCCCTTCCGATTACCAGCCGTGGCAGCAGTTGCAGGCGTTCTCAGCGTCAAGCGAGGAGGCGGAGGCAGTCCGTGGTCGCATGGTGGTGGCAGGGGGGAGAAGAGGGGGAGTGAAGAAGGAGGGAGAAGTTAAGAAGGAGAGCGGAGTTAAACTGGAGGACGACATGGAGATGGAGGGCACGATGGAGAAAGGGGAGGGGGGTCGAGAGGGGGAGGGGGAGGCGAGTGGAGGAATGGGAGGGGAGCGAGGAGAGGGGATGGGCGTGGATGGGGAGGCAGGGGAAGCAGGTGGTGGCGTTGCTGATGTTCCCTTCACACTCTCTCAGTATGTTACACTGCCTGGATGCTTTCCCTTCACACACTCTCAGTATGTTACACTGCCTGGATGCTTTCCCTTCACACTCCCTTGGTCCGTTCCTTTGACACTCCCCCAGCATGCAGGTGTTAATTTATAGCACCGCTGTTGACATGTGCGTACCGAGTACCCTTCACTTCACTCCTCCTCCACTCCTCCACCACTCCTCCTCCACTCCTCCCCCACTCCTCCTCCACTCCTCCTCCACTCCTCCTTCTCTCCTCCTTTACTTCACTCCTCCTCATCTCTCTTACAGACACTGACTGGCCAAGTCCTGTGGCACCCGCGCCACTTGGAGTCCTCCCCTCCCTCCCCCCTCCCCGTGCCCCGCTTTTTTAGAATTCTAACAGATCTCTCCACGCCCCGCTCTTCCCTGACATTGGCTGATTTTTCGCCTGGTTTTTTCTCCACTCTTCCGCTGCCTCTTTTCTCTCCCCGACTCCCCTGCTTTCCTCCTACCCAGTGCCACCTACATTCAGTCGCTGGTCGGTTCCTTTCTCTACCACTCCTCATCCTTCTCACTCGTGCCCTCCCCCCCTGCCCTGCCGCCATCTCCCCATCTCCCCCTGTCCGCCTTGCCCTTATGCCAGTGCAGCCTACATCCAGTCGCTGGTGGGCTCCTGCCTCTCCCATTCCTTCATCCGCACACATTCACCTCCCCCTCACCCCGTCTCCCTCTCTCCCCTTCCCCCCTTGTTGCCAGTGCGGCCTACATTCAGTCGCTGGTGGGCGCCTGTCTCTCGCACTCCTCTGCTGCTGCTGCTGAGATTCGAGGGATCTCTGGCCTTTCCAAGAGGTATGGCGCTAGGAGGCATGGGGCTAGGAGGTATGGGTCCAAGAGGTATGGGGCTAGGAGGTATGGGGCTAGGAGGTGTGGGGCTAGGAGGTATGGGGCTAGGAGGTATGGGTCCAAGAGATATGGGGCTAGGAGGTATGGGGCTAGGAGGTGTGGGGCTAGGAGGTATGGGCTGAGAGTTATGGCGCTAGATGTGACTAGGGGATGTGACGAGAGTAGCCTCTCTTCCGACTAGGGGAACTGCAGCTACCGGGGCTCCTTGTCTTGGGAGCGCCGTGTCCTTGGGGGGCTACTAGCACTTCCATCATGAAGCTGCTTGCCCCCTCCCCTCTTCCCCCCCCCTCAAACCCCCTCCCATCCCCCCCTCACTCGCAGCTATCTGGACTCTTTGCCTCTGGAGCGGCGGCTGCTATTGAGTCTAATCAAAAGCTCTCTCCCCCCCCCCCCCTCAAACCCCCTCCCCTCAAACCCCCTCCCTTCCCCCCCTCACTCGCAGCTACCTGGACTCCCTTCCCTTGGAGCGGCGTCTCCTTGCACTTCTCTCAAGAGCCAAGGCTCACATCTTCCAGTTCGATCGCCTCATGCGGCTGCTGCCAGAGGGCACCCAGGAGCAGCAGGTGCTGGCGCTGCTGCAACACAAGGCGCTGCTGGTGCAGGTGCGATCTGATTCTGTGCAATGTGGGTATGCATGGCCCCCGCGCAGGGGCACACATAGGTGTACCTCATGCACACATGGCGCACAGAGTGCTGCCTGCCAGAGGCCACTCAGGAGCCGCCCAGCTCCATGCGGTGCCCTGTGGGCCCCACGTGTGTGGTGCGCGATCTGCTGCTGCTGCTATTCACCAAGCACAGGGTCATTCGGAGGGAGGAAGTTGCTGCCCCCCATTTGTCTCCCATTTGTCTCCCATTCCCCCCACCCACAGGGCTGCTGGGTGGCGCCCAGCTCCATGCGGTGCCCGGTGGGCCCCACGTGTGTGGTGCGGGACCTGCTGCTGCTGCTGTTCACCAAGCACCGGGTCATTCAACGGGAGCACGTGGCGCACCTCAACGTCCCTAGGGAGCTTCTAAGGGAGCTGTTTCTATCCATCGGCACGTCCAGGGGGCCCAACACAGGCTGGGAGTTTGCCGAGCCAACAGACAACGCTTTTCTCCAGAGCCACCCCGCCATAGCTAAGGAGCAGCTTCGGCGCTGGATGGCTGCCGAGCCTGCGATCCTCCGAGCCTCCCGCGCCCTCTCCCTGGCCACCATGGCTGACGTGGCAGCAGCTTCGGCTGCTGCAGCTGCGGCCAAGGCTGCTGCCGCTGCTGGGGGTGGAGGAGGCAGGGGTGCGGGAGGTAGGGGCGGGGGAGGTATGGGAGCGCCCAGAGCAGGCTTGGCAGGGCGTGGAGCAGGTTTGGCGGGGAGAGGTGCAGGATTGGCTGGACGAGGTGCAGGATTGGCTGGACGAGGAGCAGGTCCGGCAAGAGGTTCGGGGGGTCCGAGCCTGCAGGCTGGAGCTGTGGCAGGATCAGCTGCAGCTGCAGGTGCGGCGGCAGCAGCAGCAGCAGCAGCAGGAGGGGGGGGATTGGTGGTGTCCGTGGGGCTGAGCCTGAGTGCAGAGACACGGAAGGCGTTACCTGGTGCGTTGAAGAAGATATTCAACCGACACCACGTGTGCAGGTATGTGTAGCCCTTGTTCCCTCGGCAGCAGCAGGTCGACCATGGGTGGAAAGGGGAGGACCAGTGGTCTCCCTGGGGCAGTTTTTGAGTGCAGACACGGAGAGCTTTTCCCGGTGTTCTGAGAAAGGTATTCGCCGGCTCGTGTCTGAAACAGCAGCAGCAACAGCAGGAGGTGCAGGTGTCCTTGTCAATTCGGGCTACTTCGATTCGGTCCGACTACCTTCATTCTCCTATTGTCCCCCCCCCCCGCCCTATCCCCCCCAGATCCCTTTTGTCTGTCTGCCCTTTTTGTGCCAGCAGCTGCTGCTAGCAGCAGCATACGGCAGGGGCGTCACCTCAGCCCCTCCCATGTTGCATTCATGAAGATAACCGGAAACTGACCGCCCTTCCCCCGTCCCCCTCCCTTCGCCCTCCCCCCCTGCTCCCCCCAGTCTGCCCTTCCTGTGCCAGCAGTTGCAGCTGGAAGCTGAGGAGCAGCAGAGGGCGGCAGGGGCGTCACCTCAGGCTGTAGCCACGGCTGTAGCGGCAGCCAAGGCTGCAAAAGCACCCATGAATGAGCTTGGGGCAGCCGTGTCAGAGGTACTGGATGAACAAGGTTATCGCATGCCTCCAGGACTCATTTTTTTGCGCCAACACTTTTTGTAGCACATACCCTGTTTTTCTCCTGCCTGTGTGTCACCCGCCTGCTTGAAAGCTCGCGTGTGCATCCCCTATTCACGCCCCCAACACTCTTTTTGCATGTCTCTACACATGATGATCAAACGCCTCTTGCTGGCGACCTTCCGCATCAATGGCGTCTACTTCCTCCCGGCCTGTGCTGTGCATGAACTGTCACACATTAACACACAGCGTGCATTCCTTAACATGGTTACACAGTCCAAGAGTTCTCATCGAATGCCTCTTGTGACGTGCCGCCCTGTCTTCCCTGTCCCATCACTTGCAGGTGGCCACCAGCATCAACGGGATCTACTCTGGGAGATGTGCCTGACGTGCCTGCCTCTTCTTTTCACTCTCTCACATGCCTTCCCTTTTCCTTATCACTTGCAGGTGGCTACCAGCATCAACGGGATCTACTTCCTCCCAACGCTCAACGATCCAGCAGTCGATCCTTTCAGGTGCCCTCATTCCGTTTCAGGTGCTGCCTTTTTTTCAGGTGCATTGTGTTCTGGTGCTCCCCCCCCCTTTTTTTTTTCGGATGCCATCATCTGGTGCCCTGGCACTAATGTACAGAATTGCGTGACCTCACTCAATTTCGCCTGCGCCTTCTTTCTTTCCTCCCTCCACCTGTCCTTTTCCATCGGTCAGGGGTGCATCAGGGTACACAACCATTCTTTTTCGCATGAGCCCTCATTCCCTCCGCCCAAATTCCCAATCGATTCCACCAGGGAGGTGGTGATCGCGCTGCTGAGAGCCAAGGGAGCGGGGGGGATAGGGCTGAAGCGGACAGAGATAATAGAGGCCACGCGGATTGCGCTCAAGACAGACGTGCCTGTTGCCACCTACCAACGGGTGAGCTCGGTTCCATTCCAGCTGCTAACTCCCCAGACCTTTACTTCTCGTGCTTTCAGCGTGCTTTGCGCTTTCCATTCCCACTGGTCTTCATGCCAATGTGCCTCCATGCATGCACCCTGCAACCGTTACTAGCGTTCTGCCAATTTTTTTATCACCAGTGTTCTTATCTATTTTTTGGGGCAGGTTTTGAAGGAGCTGTGTGTCACAAACGGTGCCACCTGGGTGCTCAAGCCAGGAGACGGCAGCACAGTGTAGTCTTGTCACTAAAAGTTACGTGTACTGTACTAGGGTACCTGATGTTGCACAGGTGCTGCTGGTAATGCATGTGTTCAACTGTTCTTCCAGCAATGTGAACGGTTGCCTGATGTACGGGCATGATTTTTAATCAAACTTAGTGCTCTCTCTGACCCAGTGTAGTCTCATGTGCGGGCATTATTTCCAAGTGCTCTCTCTGACCCAAAATAGTTAGCCGGACTGGAAGCTCACGGCATGCTTCTGCAGCACAGATGCCAGCAATCTGACTGCTAAACATTCTTTGCATGTACATACTGAAGAAAACATGGCTACCAAGACAGCGATTCATGCAACAGCTAAACAAGGAATAATGTACAAGGCCAACTAGGCAATGCCATAGGAACATCGCATGTACAGTAACCCAAGCAATAACCACCTAGCAGCCTTCAAGGCCTCAATGAAGGCCTCACTGCCGTTACCCTTGGCACCCTAGCCGAGCCTTTCCTTGCTCCACATTCCACACCACCAGCTCTCCCCCGCTGCCTCTTGTCTGCATCAAGAGTAGCCTTCACAGCTGCTGTCCGTGTGCTGCCACACTTGGGAATGCGAGATGGCAGCAACCTAAGGCTGGCTGCTGACAATCTCGTGATCCGTTTCTTGGTTGCTGCAGCAGACTCCTCAACAGCAGCAGGCACAGCTATCTCTGTAACAGCAGCAGCAGGCACAGCTACCTCTATAACAGCAGCAGCAGGCATAGCTACCTCTGTAACAGCAGCAGCAGGCATAGCTACCACTGTAACAGCAGCAGCAGAAGCAGCAGCATGAGCAGCAGCAGAAGCAGCAGCAGCAGCGGTATCAGCAGCAACAGCAGCAGCAGCAGCGGCGGCGGCGTCAGCAGCAGCAAGAAGCGCAGCAGCAATTCCTGCTGCATCTGCCACAGCGGACGAACTCAATGAGTCGCTATAGTCATTGTCACAGTCACCCCTGTAGCCACTGCTGCAGGTGCTGCTGGCAGCAGCCACAGCGTCGTAGTTGAGGATGTTGATCCTGCATCTGACGACGCTGATGCTGCTGCTGTCAGCCGTGCTGGTCATGCTGGCGTCGCTGCTGCACTCACTGCTCTTATCGATCTTCTTAGGGAAGTCCTCTGCAGCCTCCTCAACCCGTGACACCTCTGAGGAGTCCTCATCTGCAGCCAGCCACGGAGCTCTGGGGGCCAGCGAAGCTTGACCTCCCGACTGCAGCCATGCAGCCCGGCTTTCCCAGAAGCTGAGAGCTTCAGAGAACGTCGGAGAGTCAGCAACAGCCGTGGAAGAGGCCAGCGAGACTAGAAGCCGCCACTGCAGCAAAGCAATCCGGTCAGAAACAGCCATGTACGCTAGGGGAGCTTGAGTAAGAGGAATAATCGAGAAGCAAAAAGCCTCGCGAGCAGAGCGTCAGCGGTATTATCACGAAACTGGCGAGCAGAAGCTTAGCTGGGCAGACTCGAACTTGCTGAGAAGAGACTCTAAGTGAAGGAACTGAAGAGAATTGGAAATGCGTCTCTGAATATGACTGGGTGGTGGGTCTGCGGATTTGTAGATGAGGCGAGCAGAGGAGGCAAGAGGCAGAGGAGAGAGGGAGGAGGGTTGTGGGGAGTAGCAGCAGGGGGGACGGAACGGGAGGAGCGACGTTTCTGGAACTGCCGCCCGACTCGTAGACTCCGGGAATTTCTGACTATGCGCTGCCATGCTGCCCAGCTCAAAATTTTCAGAGCGAACAAGCATTCGAAACGATTTTGCAGGGCGATCGAATCGCACGGAGGGTCCGGGCAAGGGAGCGGTGCGAGAGAAATTTGACTTCCGCTGCCCGCAGTGAAAATGTGATTTCGCCATCGTCCGCGTGCCTGATTACGGCGAAACGAGCGGCTCGCTGCGAAATAAACGACACTTCGCGATTTCGGGGCTTCTCCCAACGATTTGAATTTTATGGGCAGAAGCTGACCGTGGTTTCGGGCCGAAACCTAGGGAAGAGGCACTGCATGGCTACAAGATACAGCGAGGAACACGCGCAGAAAATCGTATATTTTTTCATGCCCGCCCGCGACGAAATCGATAGCCTCAAGTCCGATTAGCCCGTGAGGAAAAGTAGTAGCCAACGGCTCCGTCAGAATCCCCAGCAGCGGTGCGGTGGCGAGACACAGATGATGAAGCTCCGAGATTTGGAAAAATAAGCAAACGCGATGAAATCGGGGGTGAAAGAGGTGTTAAAATCTGTACTCGTTAGAATTGTTCTCAGAACTCTGTATCCGGAAGGTTTCCTGTAAGGAATTTTCTATTCCTTACCGAGCGGTACTGCAATCGCGTACGCTCGAACACACCAGAAGCCTCGGGACAGTTCCGGACCTTTCTGACAGAACCGCCTCGGCTTCTCCAGACCTTCTAGTTCGACCTTCGGGAGTTCTCCGGGCCTCGCTTCGTCACTTCGAGACCCTTCGATCTCTTTCCCGAACCTTCCCATCTCATGGTTAGACTAGCTCTGGTGTTCCTATATCTTGGCTTGCCATTCCTTGTATCGTCATTCAGTGATTGAACACTTCGTTATTCATTTCCGCGCTACTTTGCTTGTTCATTCATAACACCTGGTATCCAGAGCCACTTTCCTCGCTCACCCGTTTTCGTGAGTTGATTATTTTTTTGGGGGGGGTAAGTCCCTCACGTAAGCTGCAAAGCGGTTGCTCGTGAATTAGACTGATAAATTCGCCCAACTACGATAGCGTTTGCGCTTATCTGAGTACAGGCACACTACGGATTTCCCCTTGCCCTAGCGGAGCATTTGCCAAATGGACCAAGCTCAGTTCAACGAGCTTCGGGAGCAGTTCAACGCCATGAACACACGCATGGCTACAGTGCTGGAGGACAACGAGCGACTTCGTGCAGAATTTGCCGAGTTACGCCAGGCGAGAAAGGGTTCGCGCCAGAAAATTGCTGCCCAAGAGGAGGTCGCCAGCACCGGACGTGTCGAAACCGTTTTGGATGAAATCGCACGTGAGGTGTCGCAGGAGCGCAAGGACACCGAAGCCGCCGCAGCAGCTGACGTGGCAGCACGAGCAGCAGCCGAAGCAGCAGCAGCAGCGACAGCAGCAGCCGCCTGGTCAGAAGCAGCCGCTACTATAGCCGCACCGGCATTCGTGCCGATAGTGACGACAGCGACGATCAAACCGACAATGCCGCCCCCGTTCAACCCCACAGATAAGAATACTACTGTTACGGGTTGGTTATTTTCGACGGAACTTTATTTTAATGCCGCTGGGATTACTGCTGATGATTTAAAAATTCGACTGGATGTGTCACTACTGCGGGGACCTGCGCTAGATTGGTGGCGATATACACTACAGGAGAGGGAGTTTTCGGCAGGCGACACACTGGGTTTTTTCGGAAACTTTGGGTCTGCTGCCCAAGGGACAACCGCGATTTTCGGATCGACCAAGATTCGCACGTGGAAGGCGTGGGGTACAGCTCTACGTGAACGGTTCGAGCCCATATCCGCCTCGGACAACGCACGCACGAAGCTGGACAACTTGCGCCAGTGGAGTTGTGTCCAAAATTACGTGTCGGTCTTCATGGCCTTATGCGATCAAATCACCTGAAGCAGGACATTAAATGCCTTATGCGATCAAATCATGACAACTGACAAGCATGACTCCGAGAAGAAAGCTCGATTCATTTCGGGCCTGAAGCAGGACATAAAATGCGAGGTCCGACTGCGACTACCTGCGACGTTTCACGAAGCAGTCCGGATCGCAGACACTTTCGACGCGCATCGGACGTATGTGAGAGCGGGTTCCCGGAAGGGAAATTGTTTTCGTGGCCAGGATCCACAGCCCACGCTTCACGGCGTAGTGGCAAAGGAGCACATGGAAGATTTTCGCAAGGGACAATGTTTCAACTGCCACCAGCCAGGTCACCAATCTCATGATTGCCCCCGAAAGAAACAGATAAAGAAGAACGAGGAAGGCAGGTCGGGAAACGCCAAGCGTCAGTAGCAGAAAGCCCCCTATTGACCCTGCCTCATCGCCCGAAAAACACCATCCCCACCGGGTAGTGGTTCCGATACACGCTATCAACCGCTCCTGGCTGAATAAGGGGGATGACCCAGTGGACCACCCAATGCTGGCGGAGGGACGACTCAATGGAAGAAAAATACAAATATTCATCGACGGAGGTGCGAGTCACAACCTGATAAATCGAGAGATAGCACGAAGACTACACTTATCGTTGGAGCGGTGTCTGCCCGAAATCGATGCGCGACTAGTGGATGGCACCCCGCTGGCGATCCGCGACAAAGTACCTGTCGTTTGAATGAAGTGTGGCGAAGATTTCGGTCTCAGCGCGCCGATGCTGGCGACAACACTCGACGGCTACGATGTACTGTTGGGACGCGATTGGCTGCGAAGATTCAATCCGCAGATCGATTGGACGACAGGCGAGTGCACAGTGAAGTGAGAAAAAGGCTGGCGAAGATTACCCACGTGGCCGGAAGCAGAGACAACCTCGACGCGAGTCAACGCTGTATGCCTCAACCGAGCGGTCAAGAATGGAGCGGATTTATACGCCATCCATCTAACCGAATCAACGGAGCAGAACAAGGCAACCGACGTCAACAAACTCTGCGCTTTGGTCCCGGATGACTTGGCAAAAATCATTTGGGAATATCCCGAGATTTTCCCGGACGACTTGCTAAGTGGACTGCCACCCGAACGACCCCAGGACCACAAAATCGAGCTCGAGCCCGGCGCGCAGACTACTGTACGAACTCAATGGCGCCTGACTCAGCCGGAGCTACATGCATTACGGAACCAGCTGGACTACATGTTGGCGAAAGGGTTTATTCGGCCGAGCAAGTCCCCGTTCCCAGCACTGATCCTGTTCACCCCAAAGTAGGACGGCGGACTTCGCATGTGTACAGACTATCGTGCCCTTAATCGGGTAACGATAAAATCGCGCTACCCAATCCCACGCATGGACGAGTTGATTGACAACCTTCGCGGAGCTCGCTACTTTTCGAAGATCGACCTTCGTAGCGGTTACCATCAAATTCGGGTGTTCGCTGACGACTGCCACAAGACCGCGTCTTGTACTCGCTAAGGGAGTTACGAATACACGGTGATGCCGTTTGGATTAACGAACGCCCCCTCGACATTCCAGCTCACCACGATCTATGCGACAAATGTGTGATAATTTACCTAGACGACATCCTGATTTACAGGAAGACCCGGGAGCAACATTTGCAGGACCTGGAAGCGGTTTTTCAGCGGTTGCAGCAGCATCATTTCATCACCTAGGGCTCCAAGTGCGAGTTTTTAAAACAAGAACTGGAGTTCCTGGGGCATGTGATCTCCACGGACGGGATTCAAATAGACCCGAAAAAACTTCGGGCTATTCAGGAGTGGAAACCGTCAGCAAAACTGCGACAGCTGCAATCCTTTATGGGCTTTATGAATTACGTGCGGCAGTTTATACCCAACATGGCGGGGTTAACTGGACCTCTAACTGACCCACTGCAAAAGGAGACTTTTTACGAGTGGGGGGAGAAGCAGCAAGCTGCGTTCGAGGCATTAAAACATCTTATAATATCGCCACCGGTACTTTGCATCGTTGACCCGGAACGGCCCTTCGAAGTCATCACCAACGCAAGTGACATCGCCATCGGAGCCGTGCTCATGCAAGATTTTGGCAATGGTCTTCAACCAACCGTGTACGAATCTCGGAAAATGCAATCCGCTGAGCGCAACTACACGGTACACGACAAGGAGATGCTGGCGATTGTCTACGCGTTCAAAATCTGGAGGTGCTACCTGGCTAGAGCAGACGTAACGGTGCGAACCGATCACAAATCTCTACAGTACGTGAGAGCGCAGCCGAATCTCAACCCGCGGCAGATACGCTGGCTGGAATATCTGGAGTCCAGCTTCACATACAAAAAGGGCGCCAACAATATTGCTGACGCCCTCTCCAGACCGTCTGCCCAACTCGCAGCAGTAATAGTCACCCAGAGCAACCCGTTACTGAGTGGAGTATTTACCCTCGGGTATTCGACTGACCCCTTCTTCGTAAATCACGACCATCTTCCAATCACTACACGGAAAGGCGTCTATTACTTACGAAGCAGAACGGATCGAATTTGGGTCCCAAGTTGTCGTCTACTTCGCAAATTACCAATTTAAGAAGTCCACGATTCGAATTTATCGGGACATTTCGGGATTGATAAAACTCTGAAGTCGTTGCAGCGGTTTTATTACTGGCCAGATATGGTGACGGACGTGCAGCGTTACGTGGCCGCGTGTCCAATCTGCCAGCGAATGAAATCATCACATCACCTACCGACAGGACTGTTGCAGCCCCTCGAGCCACCTCAACGCCAATGGCAATACGTGACGATGGATTTCGTTACAGGTCTACCGGCCGGATCCAGCGGAAATGACGCAGTACTAGTTGTCGTCGACAGATTGACGAAAATGGCGCATTTCGCACCATGTCGTAAAACCATTACAGCCGAAGAAACCGCGCGACTGTTCATCTCGACCGTTGTTCATCTGCACGGGATACCAGCAGCAATCAGCAGCGATCGGGATCCGAAGTTCACGTCGAAATTTTGGCAGGACACGTGGGCTCGGTACGGCACGCTCCTGCAGCTCTCATCCGCTTATCATCCCCAAACGGACGGTCAGACTGAAAGGACAAACCAAACGATGGAGCAGCTGATCTGGACAAACTGCCCCGACCAAAACAAATGGGAGGACGCGCTTCCCATGTTGGAATTCTCCTACAACAACGCGCCCTCAGCAACGACTAATCACTCCTCGTTTTACCTCAATTACGGGATGGACCCCACAGTACCTATCTCCACCAATGTCGAGAGTCAAGTACCACGGTCGCAGCAGTTCGTCGAAGAATTACAGACTGCACGAGACAAAGCTGTCGAACTTATTCGCAAGGCGAACGCTACTGCCAGACGGTATCTGGATTTACATCGACGGGATATTACAATGGCAGCAGGGCAACTAGTTCTTTTGGACACCAAGAATTTATGACTGCCACTACCAACAAAATTACGACCACGTTTCTGTGGCCCATTCAAGATCATGAAGATGGTGACGCCAGTGACCGCCGAGTTACGCCTACCTGACGATTGGCGTATTCAC